GCCAGAACTGGCAATCTGGTCTCCTGCATTCCTTTGGTAGCTGTTGCCAACAAAGATGTGGGGTTCTGGTTTGGTGCTCAGGTGAACTTCCCTGCTGTGTTCACCTCTACCCGCTTTTGTGCCCCCTGCATTGTGGGAGAGCTGGGAAGCCACTGATGGGCTGGGGTACCAGGGAGGAGAATGGTCATGGTCTATTCCCAATGGCTAGGAGGGTGGTGGCATAAGGAGGTAGACCTGGCTGTGGTGGCCTTGTGGGCTGTGACAGTGCAGTTACCTGTAGGATCAGGGTGGATCAGGAAGTGCTTAGGGCTCTGGTGAGGACAGGCTGCCCAGCTGTCCACCCACTAGCCTTGGAGTTTACAGCTTGGGTCATGTGTAGGATAGAACTTAGGCATGGCCATGCAATGTTCTGCTCATGATGGACACTCTGCTCAGCCATTCCTGGGGTGGGCTTGGGCTGTGAGACAGGGCTGGGTCTGTTCTGGAGTCCCTGACCTGTGTGTTTTTTCCCTCTGTCCCCCGAGTCCAAGGCTGTGTTTGCCAAGGGGGAGCCAGCACACAGTGAGGTGAAGGCCCAGACGGGGGCCAGCACCACCCTGAGCTGCAAGGTGGCTCAGGCCCAGACAGAGATGACGTGGTACAAGTTTGGGAATAAGCTGAGCCAGAGCTCCCACGTGTGCTTGGAGGCCTCTGGCTGCAGGTGGCAGCTGGTGGTGCAGCAGGCAGGCAAGGCGGATGCTGGGGAGTACAGCTGGGAAGCCGGGGGCCAGAAGGTCTCCTTCCGCCTGGACATCACAGGTGGATTTCTTGAGGCTTTTCCTTGTGTTACTTGGCATAAGTGTCAAGAAGTTAGGGTGTGTGCTACTGCTGGCCCCTATTCTCACAAAGCTTCCCTACCAGTATGACTTGCCACTGGAAATTCACCCTGAAGACCTGGAATTTGTTGACTGTTGTTTTGTCTTTTTACTTGCTTACATATTACAACAACTCTATTTGGAAGGATTATGATTATATCAATTTTAAGATAAGGCTCAGGTAAGCTCTATAACTGGCTAAGATTTGTCTAGTAAGGATTTGCACCATCAGGGATGTGTGCGTGCTTGAAGAACTCTGGCTTCCCTATTTATGTAGCAGGACTGCTGTGATATAGAGTCCCCGCCTTTTTTCTTGTATGAAAACAAGATCTCTTTCACGCTGTGGGATCTTTTTTCTGGGTATCAAATTATAGTTCAGCAGTTACTTTTTTTTTTTGAAAGAGACACTTATATATATATATATTTTTTTATTTTGAAGACTTTTAATTTTTTTAATTTTGTTCTAATTAGGTATACATGACAGTAGAATGCATTTTTACACGTCATACATAAATGGTGTAGAACTTCTCATTCTTTTGGTTGTATGTAATCATATATGAACAGAGGGTATTCTATTGTCATTTCTACCTGCATACCGCCTGCTCTCCCTTCATTCCCTTCTGTCTAGTCCAAATTATCTCACCCTTCCCAACCTTATTGTGAACTAGCATCTGCATATCAGGGAAGACATTTGGCCTTTGATTCTTCATGATTGGCTAATTTTGCTTAGCATTTTTGTCTCTAGTTTCATCCATTTACTGACAAATGACATCATTTCATTCTTCTTTAAGGCTGAGTACTATTCCATTTTGTATATATACCATAGTTTTTTATCCATTTATATGTTGAAGGGCACCTAGGTTGATTCCATAGTTTAGCTACTATGAATTGAGCTTACTATTTACTTTTTTTCTATTTAAAGAGGCCATTTCATTGTTTTGAGGTGGTGGGTCTGTTATGAGGTGGCTCCACACTCATGAATGGATGAACACTATCTCCTGGAGGAGAGCAAGTCAAGGCTTCCATATTGTACTTTGAAATATTTTCACATTAGGTTTATTATGGTTCCTTTGAGAGTCAGGTTTTTTTTTCATTATTTTACTTTTGACTTTTTCATTTCAATTTTGATTTTCTTCAGCATGACCTTGATGAAACTTATATGGTTTCCTTTGTATTCATCCCAGTGGGAGTGGCTGAGCATCTTGAATCTGTGGGCTTATATTTTTGATCAGATGTGGGTGTACTTGTCCTTTGCTGTCCTGTTCCATGTGTGTCCCCTTTCAGGACTCCTTTTTGGCTCTGTTAGACATTTGCATGTTTTTTACATGTATATCCTCTTTTTGCCTCATAATCCTTTCTTCTTTCTTTGCTTTGACCTGGATATTTTCTTTTGACCTCTTTTTCAATTTACTAATATCATGTCCTGCTATATCTAATTGTTTGTCAATCGCACAAAAAGTGAGTTTACTTTGAGTTATTGCATTTTATGCTTCATAAGTTCCACTTCATCAATTTTTTATGGATTCTAAGGTTTGAGATTCTGTAGTGGAAGTCACCCTATAATTCCTGGGTCTTGTACATGTTAAGCCCACATTCTACCAGTGAACTCTATCTCCAGTATGTTGCCAGATTTGATTCATTTTCTTATCATTATTTTTTCAGTACTACTAAGCATGGTTATATGCCTGTCCAATAGCTGTAATAACTGAGATCACCTTTCCTCTAGCATGGCATTTCTGTGTGTGTGTGTGGGGGAGGTTTGATAATATTTATGCCAGTTCCTGGCATGTCAAATAATTTTCAATTAACTGGCATTATATGAGAAAAGATGTTGAATATGGATGACTTTGTCTTGCTTCAGAGAGAGGATTCCTCTTTGCTCTTCTAGGCAGGTGGAGGATCACTGATCCATTTGGGCACATTCCAGAATCCTCTGACTCGAGGCTGATTTGCAGTTTGATCAGTGTCTTTTAGCTCTGGTTTGCCCTGATCCTGGGCAAAGTCCTCCATGGATTTCTCCAAAGATTAGGGTAATGTTATGGCCCTTTCCTAGGTCACCAGCAGCTATAACCATTGTTTCTTTAGGAAAGCAAGATGCTGAAATGTTCACACT